GTTCGGGAACATGAGCCCGCACCCCTCCTCCCGAACGCTAGGGGAGGAGCATGGACTGGATACGAGGGAGCAGCGACAATCGAGCTTGGATACTATACTCTCAAGCCGAAAATACACAGATTATTTACCTGTCCGTAGTGTTCCCTGTTCTTCTCCGCACTTTCATAATTAAACATTTGAAACTTGTTGGAATCTGTCATCTGTATAGAGGTAGATACTTTAATTTTTGTTTCATACTGCAGCACCATTTAATAAATTTCTTAGTAACCACAACATAGCAGTGGAAAAATTTTTTCTTGTAAGGACCGTGACGAACTAAGAAAGTAAAAGCTTGATTCCATCTCCTGTGCGTTCTCTAAAAGCGTACATGAGATGTCTATTTTAGACCTTTACACGTAGTGTACAGCTGGCAGAAAGTATTCGCGAAGTGTGTCTGAAGTGTTGTACATAAGTGACATTTTTCGTGCTAATACCTGATGTGTTTTAAGGTTGAAAAAAAAAATTACTGTTTAATAACACGAATAATTAAGTTCCAAATAACTGAGAATGGTGTTTGCACCACTGCACGATCAAATATACATATAAGACGCCACTTAACGTACCTGCAAGAAGTGTATCATGTTTTTCACCGATGTGCCTGCTGGAGTGTGAGATACATACACTGGAAGTCGCGTCTGTCAAGAAAATGAAATTCACATTTACCACTTGCTTGCCTGCTTCTAATCATATTCTCCATACCGTTCTCTATACATTTTTATAAGATACTGATAAGGAGAATTTGTTTAACAATCAAGAGCCTCTTTAGTTGGTGATCATTTCCTTTATTCTCGTGGCCTTAATGTGTGACTCAGGGGTGATATTGTTAGGAGAAATTAGATGCTAGTCATTCTCAGAGGATTAATCCAATGTTAATCCATACAGTTGGAAATAACAAGGAAAAGAGTAACTTAGAAAACTGAAAATATTTTTAATGGAAGCTGGGTGATTCGCTTGCAGGAAGATTGTAGTCCTTCAGAATATGGTTGGCTGTAGAATATCTCCTCAATTTTTAAATTTCAAGTAACAATTTTTCTCTTCCTCTCCCCCTTTGAAGTCTTTTTGTATTCACACGCGGCGTGCATGATTTCACAAATTAGCCAATCACGTCAAAGAACTCTAAACTTGACATTGAAAACTGGTGTGGACATTTATCACGTACTGTTTGTTTGTTTTTGCGGAGTTTTAGTTGATTTTGAGCTTTAGTTCGCCTAAATTTGTTACCCCTTTGTTTTAAATTTGAAGAAGTTTCAGAGTTTTTAACGTAGCCAAATGTTGTGGTTCATTTAACAAGTTTAATACATATTTTCCACGGAGTATGGACTCTAGCCTCTCTTTTCGTAGATAGATTTTGTACAGTTTGCGAAGACTTACCATATTAAGTTGTGTCTTGTCATATCCAGCGATGAGAAAAACGATATTCGAGCAGATTAAGTCCAATTCGTGTTCGTCACACACGTGGTCAGCTAACCAGTGAATGAGGAAATCGGACGGAAGGAAATCCCGCACACCCAGAAGTTTGAACAAGAACTAAGGAAGAGCAAAGAAACAAATGTACATTAATAAAAGTTTGCTCGAATCATAAACTAGTGAGTCGCTCTGTACGAACGAAAATAGTAAAAAAACTCGTTTAATCTTCTACGCATTTCATTTGATAATAGTAGACTTCACAAGTAGTTTTACAGGTTGGGTAAATAAACTTTTTTAGACGTTACATCGACGAGCATGTGATTTGTTTGGGGGTCACAGATTTAGCACCTGAAATAATTTGTCCTTATGACCTTAGACTTCATTATAAACAAATGGGGGCTTCCTACCCTCGCATCCATTAACTGAGTAGCTTTTCTCTATTATCCTGAAATTTTTCATCATACAAGGTGCACGTTCGTCATCGTCTTTTAGCACAAAAAAGAAAAAGTTAAGGTAACTGTTCACAACTTAAGTTTCTGTAACTACGTCTTACTCTGTTATGCGACTGAAAGGTGAAGGGAAACTGGTAAAAGCTGCCAAGTATTAATTCTTACCTCAAGTTCCGGTCCGAGATGACGGAAATATTTAATTGGACTTTCAATGTGACCAGTAGTTGTCACGGGTCCAAGGGCAAAGAACCTCTTCACCAGTTTGGCCAATTCTTTATTCCTTGAAAACTCTGCAAAGGCGATGAGCGTTCCTTGCGAATGCCCCACATAATACAACGATGGCTGAGATGTCTTCGATACCACAAACTTCAACATGGCGGGAAGGTCATATCGAGCCATCTCATCCCAGCTATGAAAAAGAGAAGGTCAAAAACCATCGTAAGATGATTTTCAATTCGATGAACTTGTTTCAGTTTGAAAAATATTAAGATATTCTGCGAGGCCTAGATTACGAGCAATCCCTTCTTTTCGCAGAAGTCCGTTGCGCGAGTGAAAAAAAAAGACAGGAAAAATAATTGGTGTTAATGAAAACTTGCTCATGCAGATCCGGTGTTTCTTGAAATGTACCAGCCCTTCCCTCCTCTCTTCACACCCTGGTCAAAGGTCGTCCTTGTGACCCAAGAATGAGTCAGGGTTAAACGGTGACGCTCAAGATTTAAACCGTGATAAAAAAAAGATTATTCAGCTGCTTTGATGGCTTACCACATGTTTGAGTTACAGTTTTAGTTTGAAATTGAAATTTTAACTTTACATTAACTTCACATTTAATTTTGAAATGAAAAATTTAGAAACAGTGCAAAGTCTAGTGACTCTTCAGTCATCACATATGAACGCAGGATCTGTAAAAACACTCGCCCACGCAGATCTGGTGTTTCTTTTTTTAAATGTTACTTAGCTTCCCGTTTTAAAAAACATCCAGGTCATAGTCCATCAATGGGACAGACAGGATAACAAGGGGGGGGGAGGGGAGAAGTGTAATCATTTTACCTTCGGGCCTGGTAATTCCCGATCTTTATAAGCTCAATTATTCATGACTCGTGTATAACCTTTTATTCGATATTCATGATTGGTTTTAACTTGTATCTCGTTATTCATTATTCCTAAACTTTGAATACTAAAATTCATAATTATTTAATTAAACCGCTGTAATTCATGATTCATCCCTTCTCCCCCCCTCCCCCACTCGATAAGGGTAAGTGAGAAAGACAGGTAAACGCGCAGACTGTGAGTGAGAGAAAATGTTCAACAGCACTAAAAATTTTTTAGAAAATTAAAATAACGCCAAGCTCACCTAAAATCCCAGAATTCATCTGAATGGACGGAATAATTGACATGATGAAGGCCATAGGTATTCCCTCGAACATTCCCAAGCCAAACGTCGAAGCCTGCATCAGCCAAGATAAAGGCCAGACTTTCATTTGGTAAATTTGTGACCCAGTTAGATGACGAACACAAAAGACCATGCTGAAGGAAAACCACAGGTTTTGGACCATCAAGATCTTCTAAATTTTCCTTTCTTCCTGCGGGTATCCTTTGTATTGTGATGACGTAACCATCCTCTGTAACCACATTGAATTCTTCGGCTGGGTAACCATTGTAGCGAATTATTGCACTCTGGGAAAAATGTCAGAACATGTCTGTTTCACCAGCTTTTTGCTCTTAATTAAAAAGAAAACGATCGCTTTGACAACCAAAAACCTTCCGGTCTTTCTAAATCACACCTCATCACACGCCTTTTTCCCCTCCTCCCTCCACTCCCATCTGTTTCGCTTCCTTAACCAGAGCGATTTCGTGACTCAAAACTCGTGATCTCTCCTGTCTTAACTCGGGTCAAAGTACCGTAAACATATCCATGTCTGTCTGAAAAAAGCTTACAGCCGCTGACGCAAAAAATGAACGCCGAAAAATTTGATTGCGTTACGTGAACGCTGCGTCAGCTTTCGCCTCAACAATGCTTTTACTTTCTTGTCTTCTCAAAGAAACCGGAAACAAGCAATCCTGAAGCCAAAACGAATATGACCAAAATTTCTCTTTGATCACTTAATCTAACGTTGTAAATAACGACAGCAAACTGAGCTGTAGAGTCGGTGGCCGTTGAAAGCAAAGCCAGTACGACTAACAACGCATGTTAAATCTCCATTCTTGCGTAATTCCTGTCTACGCAATATATCAAAGCCAAGTTGTTCAGTTTCGAGTCTACAACTGTCTTCGGGAAATTCATCGATGTATTCGTAGTTAAGGAAGTAAAATTCTCAACCCATACACTTTGTATGAACGGAAGGGTTATAAAAACCAAACGTATTATTAAAGATAGATAAGCTTGCGAAGTTAGTTACCTACCACGTTCATGTGAGTCTCAGGCAAATCTTGGAGATCGGAGGCGCTAATGGCAGCCACCGTGACCTCTCTTAGAGAGAACGATAAGCAGAGTACTACAATGCATATCACAGACATATTCGCCACAATATTCCCAGCAGCTCACGACAAAAACGTACAGCTAATTGCACTAATCGCGTTTAAATACCAGAACTTAAGTCACGTGGCAGCTTTGTTCGCTTTCTGACAGCTCGTGACTCGCGTGTGACTGTCATTTCTAACAGAAATGCAATGCAACCGTTGTTTCACTGACTATCAATACAAGGCATTGTATGTATAAATGTCGCAGTATCGCACTTGAGATTCAAAGTATCATGACGCTATATTGTAATAACGAAGACTTTATGTCACCTCATCAAGCGCTTTGTTCTAGCCTGTTTTCTATTTCCGTTCTCGCTTGTTTCCCTCGGGAGTTATGTTAGTTAGTTGATCAAATCCGCAAAATTGTAAATATCAAGAATTTTCAAAAACAAATAAATTTCTCGGAAGTTGGAGATTAGTGCACTCAGACTTGCAAATCAAAATTAACCATTGGGGAACATTACTATTCAGTTTTCATTTTCTACGCATAATTATCGTCTCACAACAACAAAGCGCATAATTATGCTTAGACAATAGACGAAACTTTCAAATCGTATTTCCAACGGACTGGCCATTGTGTTAGTCAGTGAGTAAGTTGGGGCGAGCGCGCGTTTCTATAAACAAAATTGTTTGTTTATCGTCCTTTACGAACGTTCTCATCATGGCAAATGGCGTAGAACACGACAGTCTCTTGGAGTCCGAGCGACCACATCCGCCGAGCATGTCTTCGGGTAGTCCAGCAATCAAAATCCACTTCGAAACATTCGAAATGAATTCTTCCTTTCCAGTAGATTTAAACGCGAGCATAAATTCGATGAGTCTTCCACAAGCCGTCCGAGAAAATAAGTTAGCCCTCGTCAGGCAGTATTCTCATATGGGACAAGATTTAAACGTCGCTGACTGGAATGGTTTTACAGCCCTCCATTACGCTGCCCGCGCCAACCAGGTTGAAGTGGTGATGACGCTAGTCGAGTGCAAAGTGGACATCAACCAACAAGGACGAGAGTTACTAACGCCATTACATGTAGCAGTACGGTAAGTTTTTCTTGAACTTTGCTTCAGTAAACATGATTTGAACAAAGTTTACACACTGGATTGATTAATCAAAGGAATATTAAATCACCTTTCTAAGTTTTAACATCTTTATTAGCTTGCGAACAACATATTGCCAGATTTTTAAAACAGATTTAAACGGTCGATAAAGCCATAGAGTATTTTTGCCGCAACAAATCAGTAAAAATCTGTTCTTGTGTGTAGCTCCAGACTTTTATTGTTACTAGTTCAAAATAAAAGGCAGTAAGAAAAGCTTATTAACCTTGTTTTGCATCACACCTGAACAAAACAACCACGAGCAAAATACAACTTACTTTATTGCTATCATTTTTTTAAAGCTAATCCTCAATTTCTCTTTAAAAAAAATGTTATTTTTCATCAATATAATTCGATCGGACCTAAACTGCATACTAATTTGGCTCATAGTGACATAACAAAGTTGGACGGTTGATGCTTGAGACCGCAACCGGTCCTACCTAGATTAGCCAATCAGCGATGAAGAATTGGTTTAGCCAAAGACCTACCCGTCCGAGAACTCTTAGAGACTTTACATATAGAGAAGATTCTCACGATCTGCGCTAAGTTGTTTGGCAGAGAGTTCACTCAGTTTTTGGCTGACGCAGCACAGCTCTTAGGGACTTAGTAACCCATTGTTATAATCTTTTGTTTTGCGTTGCTTCAGAAACATGCCTGGGCAAGTTGGAATTGCGCTAAGCCCCGTCTAAATGAACAAGCGTATTATTGCTTTATTCTTACAAGGCTATCAAGCCGGCTGTTGGAAGAGAAGAAATATGTTAGGTCTGGGGAGATTAATTGAATTTTTATCGTTAGTTTTAGTTGTAAAGGGAGCTACATTTAGTCACAATTCTTTATTAGTTTGTAATTACGGAGTTCTTGTTTACCGATCGTCTTGTTACTATAGCAGAGGGTGGAACAATACCATCTGCCGCTTGCTGCCTTTTTTTTTCTCCCGTTTTAATTTGGTTAACGAAGCATTGATGAGCATAACATTCTTCAAAAGAAAATACACGTTTTGTTGTAAGAGGGAGAAAATATCGCATTCAACGTTCGGGAAAAATGCCAGAAAATCAACCACAAAAGCAAAGAAAAGCTATTCGTCAAAGAAGATTTTGAGTGAAAATGAATTATCAGCGGCGGGCGAAAACTGGGTACGAGAAGGATCGCTTTTTCATGCCCAGTTTCAACGCAGCACCAATGCCACGCTGAAACTATCGAATAGGGAGTACTGGTAATTTACCACGATGCAAAATCGTGAGCAATAACTTCGTATCTGAGTTGGGAAGACATCAATTTGCCGCAGTGAAGACGTATTTCTTATTTAGCTAGCTGTTCAGCCAAGCTGATCACTAATTTATCGCGGAGATTTTCAATCGATGTTTAGATGTGCGGTGCACAGTGATTTGACTATGTAGTTTCTTGTTTACTGAAGAATACTATAGATCGTTCAATACCAATGCTAGTCTTAAAATCGCGCTCAAAAAGTTAATTTGGCCCTTCGCGTTGTAAGAGGCTGATTCATTTGAGCAGCACGCAAACTTCTGTTTTCTAGGCCTGAAGCTTAAGCTCAGCATACTTTTATCTTTCCTAACAGCTACAACAGCTATGAAGCTGTTAAGACACTCATTGAGTATGGCGCCGACCCCTCCATGAAAGATACTGACGGTGCAACCCCGCTCCACTTTGCGGCTCGCCATGGTTGTGTAGACTCGTCAAAAGTTCTGCTCAGTAACAGTCTATCATCTGTTAACTTTCAAGATAACAGCGGTATGACGCCATTTCACTTAGCCTGCGCTAGTGGCAAGCTCGAGTTATGTGAGCTGTTCCTGGAACATAAGGCAAACATCCGAATGCGCACTGTGGAAGACAAGAGCCCTTTGCATCTTGCTGCGTTACACGGAAACGAAAAAATCGTTAAACTCTTAGTCAAAGAAGGTGAGTCTGAAAACTATTTGAAGCCTAAATAATGAGAACTTTTGTGCATTAGCGCCGCTCAAATATCTATCCCATGCGTGCAAATACTATACAAATTTTTATCTAGCTATATAATTTTTTTCACAGTTTCTTTTTCCTTTTTTTTGCATTTATTTTTCTCAAGAGAAAACTAAAGAGAAAAGAAGCGAAATAAGCGCTTTCATTATTTCCGTTTGATTATCAGTTAATCTTTAAATAAAAAGTGTATTAGAGCAAATCATGGTTTCCCTATAGAGCTTTCCTCTAGTGTATTTCTATTTGTTTTGAACCAAGTATTAAACTGTGCGTGCACACATCTTAAACGGCTGCGCCAGATAGGTAGGGAATTTGCCACAACATTTTTGCCTCGACGTATTTGACCATCGTTTTCCTGTTCCAGCATTTCTTGAGTTTGGGAACCCGTTAATCTACATCGATGCGCCTGACTTCGAAGGAAACACTGCTCTTCACTTAGCCTGTCAGAAGGGCCACAAGGAAACTGCAGAACTTTTGTTAAGTCAAGGAGCTGATATGATGGATGGTCTGGAGACATTTGGAGAATCAAGTGTGCACTCTCCCCTGCACCTTGCAGCTGCCTATGGTCACATGGATATTGTGGAGCTTTTGATATCGCATGGTGCTTTTGTTGATAGTAGAGATGAGTGGCAAAGAACTCCTCTTCAAAGGTGAGAAAAGTGCACTGTAATCCTTTCAAGAGATCAGTGTCAAGTAAGTAAACAAGATAAAAAAAAAGACTCTCTTTATTGAAAGATGATTTGGGTTTTTCAACTGAGTTGATAATGTACATCGGCCGCCGTGAAGAGTTTCTAAAACAGATGTTTTGAGTGTTAGCCCTTCTTTGTCAGAGCGACTCTTCGTTGTGGCGATAAGATTTCTCCACCAAAAATTCAAAATAATAAAGAGGCAGGATGTTAAGTTTATGTGTCCTAATTTTTGGGCAACGAGAAAATCTAACTCCTTTATAATATTTTCTATCGTAATTGTTGCTTGTGCAGAGCTGCTGAATTTGACCGTGTGGACACCGTCAAGTTCCTGCTGGATAACGGAGCGAACATTGACGCCAAGGACAACGAAAACCGCACTGCGTTCGTTTTGGCAGTGAAGCGAGGCAGGACCAGAACTGCGGAGCAACTTCTAGATTCTGGGGCTGACTTCAAGTCGCGCGATGCGTCGCTTAGGACCTGTCTACACCTTGCTGTGAAACATAAACGAGAAGAAACTCTTCGCATGCTCCTTGATCGAGATCAAGGCCAGTTGATCAACGAAACAGACAAGGATTTGCAGACGCCTCTGTTTTACGCGGCACATAAAGGGAATTTGAAGGTAAGGGTGTTCTAGACAGCCAATCTCTGTTGATACCTCCCTCAAAGCATTTTCTCGTGCTGTTAGATGACTCTGAGGGTAAGTGATTGGCTATTACATTCTGGTGCACTTATTGCCGCGCTACGCTGCTGGTAACAAGTATTTATGCATTTACACAGCTGTAAAGTACATCACAAAGTCTTTATTAACTTGAAACGTCCAATGATAATCACCAGATCCTTCAACTGCTGATAGAAAAGAAGTGCACGGTGGCTCCTAAGGACGTAATGGATCGGACCCCATTGCATGCCGCCGCAGAACACGGTCACGTGGCCTGTGTGGAGGTGCTTTGTTTGGCTGAACAAGGCCACATTAATGACAAAGATGAACGTGGGCTTACACCTCTTCACTTAGCAGCGCTTGGAAGCCACAGGTTCTTTTTTTAATTTATAATCACTTATTACCCGTCTCTCCCCTACTTGCTTGATTCGTGCATTCGTGTCACCAGTTTACACCGCTTAGTATAAATAATACTTGCAACACAAAACAGTGGTTCTTCATCATTTGATCCATATTTTAGAGTTCTAAGTTCTGGAGATATCAAAAATCGCTAGCATTCAATTCGTTTCTTTCCCACCGGCTGGCACAAAATGTACAAATAAAAGTGAGCCAGTTACAAAGAGAAGTTGTTTTCCATTAGGTTCGAACGTTATGTCCTCAAATGTGAGCTTTGCGCGCTCTTCTGTCTACCCTTAAAGAACATGTCTAAAGTCTACCCAGCATGCCCGCACAAGACTTATGTTATTGCGTTTGTGCTGCTTATAGGAAAACAACAGTTCTTCTCTTACACTTGGGTGCTAATCCCAGTATCCAAGACAGCAATCGTTGGACAGCCCTACACACTTGCGCCTCTGGTGGATGCCCACGCACTACTCAAGCACTGCTGTCGTATCAATCCGCGAGTGCCATTGATGCAGGCGATCAAAATGGCGACACCGCGCTTCACGTGGCCGCGAAGTACGGTCACGTCAACGTTTTGGAGCTTATGTTATCACGTGGTGCTGATATCACTGCACGTAATAAGCAAATGTTGACGTGTTTGGATGTTGCTATCTCGTGTAACATGGAAAATGTGGCTGAGGTTATTCTTGGGAACCCCAAGTAAGTCCAGAAAACCATTTATCATCAGTATGCATATTCTCCATACATTTCCTAAGGTACTGACAAAGAGAATTTGTCAAACAATCAAAAGTTTGTGAGTATGAAAGCGATCTTCGAGAGTTTCTTCGGTTGGTGATCGTTTTCCTTATTCTCAGGACCTTAATGTTTGATTCAGGGATAATACTGTAGGGAGAAATTAGATGTTGATCACTCTTAGCGGTTAAAGGGTTAATAGGGAGAAAAGCGCACCGAAACCATCATTGGTTCATGACTTCTAACAATCTTTGACAAGTTATGGCAACCGTTGGATTCTACAGGTAAAGAAGCAACGGAAATCAGATCACATTCATCCTCTGGATTTCAGTTCTAATCATTTTGAAAGTTCAAGGGTTTGGGGCATTTGTCTGCCCAATAGAATCCTAAGTTGATGCATTTTCAACACCATTTTGGCCCTTAGGATTGAGCCAAATACCTGAACGATGTAAGGTAGTGTAAGTAGTGTAAGTTGGATGTTTTAGGTGACTGAATCAAACCATTGTTTAAAATCGCTGATGACTGCCTGTTTTTCAGGTGGATGAGCTTGTTTGAATACACGGTCGACAGGGGAGCAAATCCACTGAAGAACTTAATTAAGAGCATGCCCAGACTTGCACAGGTTGTCATGGATAAATGTGTAACCTGCTCCGATGATCAGCGGGATGACCCTGACTATTCCATAACCTTCGACTTCAGTATTCTTTCTGGTCCAGGAGATAAGGAAGACCCAAGAACTTCTGAAGGTCCACGCTTTTTTGCCCCTTCCTACATGGTCCAGTACGAGCGCGAAGGACTTCTTATGCACCCATTATCGCAGATACTTCTTCAGTGGAAATGGAATACCATGGGAAGGCCGTTATTTGCGATAAACTTTTTGTCCTACCTCGCTTTTGTTGTGCTGTTGTCTGTGTTCATGATAGCGGAACGAGGAAAGCTGAGGTTATTCAATCCTGGCGCAGAGGACTTCCAGGATGATGAAACCGATCAACTATTTCGGTCTAGAAGTGGGCTATCAGCTGGAGCTCCTGTTTTGATTCTGATCTTTATCTGCATTCACATGATCAAAGAAATTTACCAAATTGCTATTCAGAAATGGAGATATCTAACTCATGTCACAAACTATATTGAATGGTGTTGCTATTTGTGCACTATTTGTTTTGTGTCTCCCTATCTCGGGAGAGGAAACATTTTCAAGGGTACAATGACGATGTGGCCTCTTGCCTCAGCCGTGATTCTATTATCGTACACAACCTTGATCCTGTTCCTGAGACGATTCTATTACGTTGGTATCTACATCTCAATGCTCATTGAGGTTACCAAAACACTTTTCAAAGTGATCATCATTTTCATTCCAATGTTATTTGCTTTCAACCTGACCTTCTTCATTCTACTAAAAGAGCAGGTGGGTATTTCACATGACTTAAGTATAAAAACGACCTGGCATAGGCCTGAAAAGGGCGCTTTTCGATTGAGTGTCGGAAAACCAAGACCAAAGATATCACAATAACTAATCATAACAAGGAAAATATTTCAAGGAGCCAATGAGAATTCGCAGTAAAATCAATCAAGCTGCCTGAAGCGCGGGAAAATGCGAGTGACCAAGTCGCGATTGGTTTTAGCCTTGAATATGATTGGCTCAGAAAGTAACGCGTGATTTCCGGACCAATTTCATAACTGAGTAAAGCAAAACCAAAGCAACCCCGGATTACTTAAGACGCTTGATGTAAAATTTTACCAAATTTCTTAGATTCAACATTGTTCTAGACTTTCGCGCGCAACATTGCGCGCCATAATCTAGTTAACTCTAGTTAACTAATCTAGTTAAACCGCGCCAACTGCCTGAGGCGGGACAGAACGTATCGACATCGTGCACTTGGTGGGTCTGATCGGTTAAAAGGATATCCGTAGTTATCTGGACCAATCACAAGGCGCAGTAAGGAAAAAACAATTCCATCTCGGATTACTTCCAACTCCAAAACTTAATTGAAATGGCTTTATTAAAATCACACCAACATCTACATACAGTTTAACTGTTTTAATAAACTTAATGCTCGTTTGAATTCAAACTATCACTAGTGAAGACCTCATTTCTCTCGTTTCCAGGCCACTTTCCGCAATCTGTTCTGGTCCTTTTGCAAGACGTTTATAATGATGATCGGGGAGGTTGATTACGGCTCCATTGTGGTCGATGCGAAGGCGGAGATCAACGACGAATCTGGTGCCCCTCTTGTACACCTGCCAGAGTTCACTGCCATCATTGTGTGCTTGTTCTGTATGATTGTGTCTGTTCTGGTCATGAACCTATTGGTAAGTGAAGACTTGGTGGGAGGGGAGAGAAGGGCTATTAGTACCTTGACTCTTGGGTACAAGATGGCGCGTCATCGTTCTTAAAATTTTGATCTTTTGTATTATAATTATAGTTCTAAGCAAACGGCAACATCTTAATCCTTTACGAACATCATGGATTTTTCGACTAAATAAATGTAGTATTTCATTAAATGTTTGTCAACGCTGAACAAAATTTAAAAAAAAAATAGTGACTCGCTTTCTGGCCGTCAATTAGGTTCTTAAGTCACTTCCCCTCCCCTTCTCCAGTTCCAAATGCCTTAGTAATTCACAAACTTCCGCGGAACGTATTGAATCGTTCACCAGTGAGTGGTAGTGTTGTCCAAAAGTTACAAACTTTGTAATACATACATATGCCAGGAAGTATATGAAATGGTTCAACTTCTTTTCTGAATTCTTTACATTTCAAGCGAACCTTTAAATTTTGTTTTAACATTCTCTTTTAATTACTTACACTGTAGAACTAAAGTTATTTGGGAAAATGCATGGCCTGTACACAGTTTAAAAGAAACATTATATCCACATTATTAGCGAGCTTTATAATCCAAAAACAAAACACAACAAACAAACAAAAAAGCCCAAGAAATGAAAAGTTTACGAGTTTCCTGTGCCAGGATTGGAACCTTGAAAATCCCGCACATGTCCCTGACCAGTGTTCACATTTAAAAATGTCTCATCGCAGGTGGGTTTAGCGGTTGGAGACATTGACAGCATTCAACGTAATGCCAACATGACGAGGCTGGCCATGCAAGTTGAATTTGTATGTGATATTGATCAACGATACCCACGTTGGCTGAGAAAGTATTGGCATAGATCCGTTCTTGTTTTAAAGCCGAACGGAAAAAATGCGTTCTCATTGTAAGTGCAGCATTCATTCATTTTTTTAGTATAAGTTTTTTGCCCATTTTTTTTATTTTTTATTTTTTTTTATTTTGGACTTCAGCAGCGTATGTTGGTTTTCACTGACTCAATAATAAAACATCCAAATGAATTTTAGCCTGTTCCAGACGCTCGGTTGGTAAAACGAGGACTGAACCGACTCAAACCTCGATCCTTTTCCACTCCGCCTCTTCCATCAAGACGTTTCTGTCTTTCGATCCAATCTACCTCCCGGAAACCTGGAACGGTCTCGTACCCAGACCTTTCACGCCCAAGCGGTTGAACACTTCAGTTACAGTTACATGGTAGGATATGGGTACGAGATAAGGGTTGAATCATCCCAGGGGCTTTCTTTTCTTTAATCTTTGTCCCTCATACTTCTTCATATATATATATATATATGTATGTATGTATGTATGTATGTATGTATGTATGTATGTATGTATGTATGTATGTATGTATGTATGTATGTATGTATGTATGTATGTATGTATGTATGTATTAATTTATTCATATGTTTATTTACTTTTGGCAGCCTGTTACATATAAATCGGAGGCTTTTTCCCATGCTTGAAAACTATATAAATGGGCAAAAGGAAAGTGAAGTTGAAGAGGATGAAGGAACCAAGAAAATATCCATGGAGATCACCAAACAACAAGAGCAGATTAAGTTTTTACAGAAAACTGTTGAAGAACAATCAAGACTTCTTCAGGAAATTTCTCATCAGCTGAAACAGACCGCTCATTCGACGGCCACAGCGGAGGATACCAGGCTGTAGAAAAGCTACTGAGCACATTCCTCTGGGAGTGTTTGATCTTAGCGGGTTGTAGGTTGCGGGTCGCGGGTAAATTGTCACTAATGTTCGAGTTTCTTCTCGAACCTCCAAATGTCAATTCCCTCATCTACTCTTACTTTTCTATTTTTTTTTTTATTCTTAGTGTCAGCAGGAGAATTACATTGTTTAACTCATAGTGTTGTGTCAAAATAAGTTCCTCTGCAGTGATCACCTTGTAGATTCTCATAATCTGTTACAGAAAAATAGTCCTCCATGCATTGTTGAAGTTTGTTTAACCCTTCACCTCCCATGAGTGACCAAGAGATAATTTCTCCTTGCAATATCAATACAATATTAAGCATAGAAGTGATGAGAATAAGGTAAAATATCAGTTACGGGATTATTAGTTGATCCAATACCAAATTCTCCAAATTGCCATCATAAGAATTGTATATCAGACAGTAAAAAGAATTATGAGATCTTGGGAGTGAAAGGGTTAAGGGACTGGTCAGTAGTTATCCGCGTCGGGGGAAAGGGTGCGGTGGATTTTTGTTGCGACAACGCAGCCTTTATGTGATCCCCCCTTGAAGTATATAGGGTTTTTTAACACCCCCCCCCCCTTCTCTCCAAATTGACGGTGGAAGATTTCATGTATTATGTGCTTACAAGATTTCAGCTTCTATATTATATTAAAAAGTTAATTTTCTACAGGAACTGTGGTGCTGCGTCGGTGGCAGAGTATAACAAGGTAATTTAGCATTCTCAGCTGAGTAAATTGGCCACCGTGAAGAGTTTCAAAAGCTGACGTTTCGAGCGTTAGACCTTCGTTAGAACGAAAAGAGGAATTGTGGTTTGTGTGTGTGTGTGTTATATATATATATATATATATATATATATATATATATATATATATATATAACGTATTGCTCTCACTTTCAACACTTTTTATAACCTTGTTGTATACCTCTACGTAGTTTGTAAATATCTTTTTCTGGTTATCTATTCATGTGAAATTTGTTTATGACAATTATCTAAAATTGTTAGAACATTACTTACAGTATATAAAATTTACTTTACGTTGAGAAAAATTCAATAGTGTAAGTCGATATGGAATTTCTCTTCGAGTTGAACACGGGGAGAGAAATTCCATATCTGCAAGCAACCATATATCATTTTTTTTAGTTATATAAACAGCGTAGGCCTTTGCCAGCAAGAGTGGCGCGAAAGGCGAGTTACATATCAGCAGCTGATTGGCGATATTAAGCAAACGAAGAAAATTATCGTTATTAACACATGCGCAGTTCTAGTTTTTCTCAGGGCTGGAAATCCTTGTTAAACTTCGCAGTTTGTATGATAAATTATACGGTAACCATATTGTGTGATTAAAGATTAAACCTTGTATTTTGTGTCTACAATATATTGCTGTTACTTTCAATGTATCACATTACCTTCTTGTGACGCATACTTTGCTTTAGCTGAAGAGGGTCGGTTACACTGCAGCAATACCCAGCTATTTCGCTAGTACTACAAGGTTGGGGTCCCTGTTCCAGGTGAGAAGCTTTCCCTGGTTCACATTCATTTCTAGTTTGCATTTTTAAAAGGAGAAAAAAACAGGCAAACAACCCACGAAAAGTATAAATGCAATGATTACTTGTCAGGTAATTACAGAGATTTAATCTTTCTCCCTTATTTATTCAGTGTTCAGTATGGACGATTTCTGATAAATATTGCGTTGATGACAAAGAGGAAATACGATTTAATTAAAACTAGTGGGTCCTTCTTTGGAGTTCTTTTAAGTGGGGATAGTCAAGGAAATCGATTTGGTAGCTGAATGCCCTAACTTTGGGGAGTAACATTCGTAACTACCCATCCCTTTTGAAACGAATTCAAGGCCAAAATTCAGGACATCTGGTGATTGATCCACAAAATACCCAGTCCGTGTACACAAATCTAAAGCATGACTTATGCAGGTTTGTATGCGTTTGTCTCTGTCATTTAAACCGTTTGATTGCAGAAATTAATTATTGAATTTTGAGGCTTGTTTCTTGTTTCCTTGATAGTGCACTAATTTATCTTGAGTTGAAACTGAACGATTTGATAAAAAAGGAAGATTAAATTTCTAGCTATACCGTGGGATAGTCGTGATAGTTAATCTTTTCTCGATTTTCCATCGGGCAATTAGCGTCTCCAGAAACTAATCCATTAATAACTGGCTTAGCATTCATCTGATGATGTTTGTCATGGCTGACATTTTTGTCAAAAAATTCTTTCTATAAGGATTTAGTGTCCAAGGAGGTATTGCATTAGCTTTGCTTTATCTTTTCGCATCACAGTAAGTCACCCGCCGACTAAATGCAAACAGTTAACTCAAGCCCACAAGAGAAACTTTGATGACAGCTGAAAAAGCCAGTCAAGCATAGAAATCCTCATATCTTTGCAAGGTCAGTTGACATTTAGTTTTTCTACATTTATTTCGTTCAAGTTTTTTTTAATGCTTTTTGTCGAAGTTAGAAAGTGTGTAAATCAGAAAGATTTTAGGGATGGCCCTCGTTGGTATCAGAAATCTTGGCTGGCAGACTAATAAATCTAATGATCTGGTTGAATCTTGATAACGTACAAATTTTTAAGAGGGTCTCACTGGGGTTAGCCGTAAGCCGTAAAACGGCCGTAAAATTTGGCCGTTAGGCGTAAAAATTGAGAGAGTGTAACCGCTAGTCGTAAAAAAAGTTAAGTGATAACAAAGGAGAGATATTGACGCAAGAATTGTCGTGTGTCTTAAGTTTTTGGTTTTATATCCGTTCACAGGATGGCACTACACTCTGTTATGTCTTACTCAATGATGGTACTTTTACTGCTGATCAGTAGAAACACCCAAGGCAGACCTGCAGCCCCTCAATTCCCATTCAGCTCGCTCATTCCTACCACACTACCGCAAGGATGTGACATATACGGAGACCGAGTGTACCTTCCTGGGGAAGTCATAGCTGGCGATCCTGACGGCTGTTTTGCAGTGGTTTGTACAGAGCATGGAATACAGATTTGGGATGGAGATTGCCATACCTCCACCGCCAACCCGAGTCCTCCCTCCTCAACCCCTGCAACATTTGAAGTTGAACTCACAACCGAACGGCCCCCGCCAAGTTTTCCGGGGTTTCCATTTGCGGGCGTGTAAGGCTATCAAGGTTTATTTAGCATCGAGTAGAACGTTTCTCTTCATGATGCTAGGAATATTGTAGCTTAATTACTGATTAACTATGTATCAGAGGCGAAATACTGTGTGGCAATAAAAAGGGGAAATGAGAGGAATTCTCTTATCTGAGAACATTACAATCATAGCAAAATTGCGCACCCTCGTATGGCAGATAAATTCACTTCCCTTGAAGTTTACCTTGATCTATATTCTTTGATCATCAGTAAGAATTTGGCGTTTTCAAAATTCGCGATCATTTTGTCTACCCTACAGATCCCCATAAATGGACGATGCATTGATACTTCAAGGGGAATCACATGTTTTGACCCAGTTATTAGAGATAACGGCGGTTTTTACCACTAGGTACTGCTCTACCTCCTAACCCCAACCTCAAAATCCCCACCCCTCCCTTCACATCTCTTCTGCATTCGCTGTTTTGCTTGTTGTCATAACAACCACTAATCTTACCGGCATATTCAAGATGGCGTCTCGCAGCGAAAGTCAAGAAAGCGGTGTGAACGAAGATTTGGATTCTGCAAATATCGTCAAGGTGGACGAACCTGTGGGTAACCTATCTAAATACTATGCCTTACCTCCTGGCTTTTCAGGAACGCCTAAAAAGGGGCACTTGATGTTCGATGCTTGTTTTGAAAGTGGAAATCTCGGCAGAGTCGACTACATTACGGAATTCGAGTACGATTTGTTTATTCGCCCGGACACCTGCAATCCTCGGTTTCGCGTCTGGTTTAATTTCACTGTGGAGAACACAGCACCTTATCAGCGTGTCATATTCAATGTCGTGAATTTCAGCAAGACCAAGAGCTTGTATCGCGAAGGAATGACTCCACTTGTTAAGTCTTCCAGTCGTCCAAAGTGGCAGAGAATTCCTGCTAAGAATTGCTTCTACTATCGTTGCCCTGACCACAGAAAAAACTATGTACTCTCATTTGCGTTTGCCTTCGATAATGACACGGATGTTTATCAGTTTGCCTACTGCTTCCCTTACACTTACTCTCGTCTGCAAACCTTCCTTGAGGAACTCGATAAAAAAAACATGGCGTGTTACAGAAGAGAGCTACTTTGTTTGACGGTTCAGCAGCGCAGAGTTGATTTGCTGACAGTTACTTCCCCAGAAAACATGAAAGATGATCTCAAAAAGAGGGTAATTTTTATCACAGCAAGGATTCATCCAGGTAAGCCTTTTATCTTGTTACGGCGGATTATCAAACTCAGTTGCGTGTACTTTGCCCAAATACACCTTTAGTTAATAATCTTTTAGGCGAGAACAACGGGAACTTGTTTACAAATAGTATGTCCAACCCAGTGGGTCAGCATGTCCATGCCTATATGTCCATGATTTTAATCGTCAAATGTGGTGAAACTTGAAACCGACAAAAATTTTCCTTGCATATATATTTTAGTACTATTGATAGAAAGTAAAGAAAGCACATTAACATGTTGTTCTGGGTAAAAATATGAACCTTTGTTGTCAAAAGTTACTGGTAGCATGTGGAAATCACTAGTTTCCTTGTATTATTGACTGGTCTCATATTCCTCTGATCATATAGTAAATGATAGTAAAATAGCCACCCATTTCAACAATAAAGTGCTCCACTATCATCAGTAAGACCCTCTCACCATCATTTTTTTAGCCTGTGTGCAGGCTCTTGTGTTTGGATTTCACTATATGGTGCTGCTGCTATTGTATTATGGGTAGCCACTGATGAAAAAGAGTATTGAAATCATGGCACATATATATACCTCAAAACTGTTCAACAATTCTGTTGAAAGAAACAGTTAACTCCCTCCCTCCAAAAAAAAGTAGCAAGGAAGGTATGCACTGACCAAAATGCTTCATTTTCTCACTACTAAAATGGGCAAAGCAATTCTTTCTAAAGGGTGATTAAAGTTTAAAATTTACGATTTTAACAAAGAATGCCAACTTGGTTGAAGTAATAAGTGTACAGAATTTAGATTGATTCAAATTGAAGTTAGTATCAGAGAAATGATTATCAAAATAAGTTCAAATATATGCAAGTAGCATAATTAGTGGTAAGCATGAACCATGCAAATGCGAGCAATTTATCCCGCATGTAAAACTGAATTTTTGTCTGATCACTGAATGACAGATTGTTTGTTTTTGCCAGGGTTAAATTTTCTCCAGTTTACTTCCAAGTCTTATGTGCTCACTTTTCATGTAAGATGGTCATTAAAAGTCTGGCAAGCAGGCCTAAATACCTGAATTTTGGAAGGGGGGCTTTGGGTCTATTAGAAACTGCAAAACCATTGGAAGAATCATTCAAAACGGCAAGACTCTCAAAATTTCATGAATGATCAATTTTCACCTTATTTTCTTCCTCAATGCCAAATTTGTACTCCATTAGTGTATGGCTTCATTAACTCACATGGAGTATATCACCAAGTTGAATTTTGTTAGAACCCTATTCAAGGGGTGTACTTTCCCATCAATTTGTGCAATTTAACAACTCCTTCATGAAGTGAGTGATAAATTACCACTGATTAATAATCTGCCCAGAAGGCTTTCCATGGCCCTTACAAAAGATTTCATAATACTTTAGTGTAGCAACTGATCTGAATGCTAGAGGTCCATGAAGTCTTGCAGATATTGTAGCACATACTGGTACATTAAAGACTTGGCTGAAAATACCAAGAATAATAATTACCTAGGCCTACCTAAAAAAAAACAAATACAAATGTTCCAGAAGCACAAACACAATGACACAAATAAGAAGGCACAGCACAACTTTTTATAATAGACAGGATCTTAGGTAATTGCAGATACTTCCCCCCCCCTTGATTTTTCAGCTTTTCCAGAGAGTCCACCAGTACACATTCATACTTGGGGGGGGGGGGAAGAGAGGCACTGCAAGAGTGAAGTGTCTTAATCAAGAAAACATTACTGACCCTGGCTTAGTAACGCTTAAGCCCAGACCTCTTCAGCTAGAGTTGACACTAAGTCTCACCATTGATAGGTTACTCAGAAGCAAACAACTTAGGTTTCTGGTCAGCATATACCAAATCTTTGTTTAACCCTTTAAATCCTAAGGTCTGAGAGTTATTTCTCCCCTCAAGCTGCTACACAATTCTTTGTAAATTAGTAAGGAGAATTTGGTGTTAGGTCAAGACAACAACTACCTGATAACTCTGAGTATTCTCACCATCCGTTTGCTGGATGATGTAAGGATATTATAGAGAGAAGTTACATTTTAATCACCTCTGAGAGTCAAAGGGTTAAACTGGTACTTTTGTTGTCTGTCTCAGGTGAAACTCCGTCGTCCTATGTCTGTCAAGGTGTCATTGATTTCCTTGTCAGTAGCCATCCAGTAGCCAAAGTGTTGAGAGACTACCTGGTATTTAAGATAGTGCCCATGTTAAACCCTGACGGCGTCGTCTTGGGTAACTACCGCTGCTCCCTGATGGGGTTTGATCTGAATCGCCATTGGCAGGAGCCGTCACCGTGGGCTCACCCCACTCTAGTAGCTTGTAAGAACCACTTAATGCAGCTGGATGAAGATGAAAATGTCCATCTTGACTTTTATATCGATATCCACGCGCATTCCACTATGATGAATGGTTTCATGTACGGGAATATTTACGACGAGGAGGAACGATTTGAAAGGCAAGCTGTTTATCCGAGACTTCTATGCGCGAACGCGGAAGACTTTTCCATGTCCAACACATCATTTAACAAAGATGCTGTGAAAGCTGGTACTGGGCGACGTTTTCTTGGCAGCTGCTTAGACCCAAAGACTCATTGCTACACGTTGGAAGTGTCGTTTTTCAGCTACAATACAGCTGTTTCACAAGGAATGTCGCCATACACCGAAGAAGGGTATTTCAAACTTGGCCGTAACGTAGCGCGTACCTTCCTCGACTATTACAAACTAAATTCGCTAGTGGTACCCACGAAGAAAAATGTTTCAAAATCCTCACAGAGAAAGGATTCTAATGGTGATGGGAAACAGAGATTGTCTGGCAGAAGTGACTACAGTGGGAAGCTGTGAATTAAAAAGTATTCAAAGTTTTTAATATCGTGTCATAAACTGAGAGAATGTTAGACCAAAAAGTGACGTTTTGAAAGGCTCTGCGTTGTGACTCACAATAACTTCAAAGCTCAGATAGATTTTTAGGGAAAAAAGTTAGAGTAGTTGTATATTAATAGTTTATTATTTATTGTGATGATTCAATCACAAATGCGGAAAGATTACATTTTTTGTCTTTTTGCAGCAAGCATTTTTCCTTTACATTGTCAAATTGAAATGTGTTGTTTTAACAACTAAGGATTTTGCCAGGGTTATGGTATTCAAGGTTAATTCGCTGCTGGCGAAGGTAAGATGCATCCCACCAGTCATAACTTGCCTGTAAAAGTTTTCTTTTTCCGTGGCAAAGACCCACATTATATTTATGTTCCGAGAAATTAATGACGTAAATAAAGGTAGCCCGCGTTTAGCCGTACCCTCCTCCCGCAAGGTGAAACGTTTCACCTTGGGGGGGAGGGTACGGTTACACATAGGCTAAAATAAAGGTAGATTGCTAATTTGATTTTTTGGCTTCCTCGAGACTATAAATACAGTAAAATCTATTAGCAGACTCGGGGGGCACTGATACTAAGTTTGTTTCTTGAAAGCGTGATTTTAACCCGATCAGATTGAATATTTTACCTTAAAGCGCTAAATCTTGTAGAGGAGAGTCATACTTTCTACTAGAGGATCCAAGAGTCCCCTAGATGTCCCCTCAATGCAGTTTTCACATTGTCACAGGAGTTTCTCATCTTTGACTGCGGCGAGTGAGTGCGAGAGAACATAATCTCTTGCTTAGTAAGTGTTGAGTGGACCCGCAAGGTCGAGTCGACGTTCGAAACGCGATTAAGAACGGCGAGATTTATGGAAGTTCAAGGAAAAGGAACTTTGACTACTACGAATTGATTATTTGCTCCCATTTCTCGAAGAGAGCCCTTTGAATCAAACATAACTGAAAGTACTTTTCCGAGTACTTCACACATCCTGTTTACATTCTGACATTTCCTTTCCTATACGGATTATTTTGGGCGATGTTTCAAAATCCGGTGAGGATTTTAAAAACAGTCGCGTGAAGTTGTCACCGGAAGTTGTGAGCATGTTCCCGCACTCTGTTTTCCGTCTCCGCAATGAAGGTAATTTGATGACACTTTTTAGAAATGCGGCTAAATTTTAATTTGACGGCCTCAACTCCTACCAGAACATTTCAGTCAATCCGAAGGCATTGATAGTCCAATATTCCATTTTAACGTATGCCATCTTCTTTCAAATTTTTTAATCTCTTCCCTTAATTTGTCTCTGCGTGAAATGTTCATCGTTTGCGGCTGAAGTATGTCAAACTAGAGCGCGGTCAGCCCACATCCGTTTTAAAAGAGCAATCAAAAATCATAGCAGTAGGATCGTCATCAGCTGACGGTTCTCATTGTTCCGGCCAATTATCAAATAATTTAGAAAGTTACATTTTAAAATAACAACAGATCTGTGTGCTGCAAATTAATCAACCAAGTAACTGATGATAAGATTTTTGAAGCGTATACAATTTTTAATTAAATTTGGGTTCTCTCACTTGTATGCTACTTGTTTTTGAACGCATAACTGAGAGACTCAGAGACAGTGGTCGGTGATGAACCAATAGTTACGAGGCTGGTAGCACATCCTGTCAACATTACAAGAAGATAAACTACTCTAGTTTAGCAACGCCACAGTGACTCGACAAGGGCACGGCCTTGAGTACAGGGCGTGTCGGCCCAATAAGGAATTAGTGTCGAAACAAACTGAAGAGCTGTTTACCTGGCAAAGATATCAGTAAGACTGAAAGATTTATGATTGAAAGGAATCCGACAAACCACAAATCAAGGAGGTCACGTCCAATTTTCGAAACTCCGTACAGAAGAGGGTAAAAGGGAATCATGGATGTGGTCTTCCTGCTCTCTCGCCACTACTCCCATGGGGGTGACGGGAAATTATGTTTATCCTTCATGCACGAACATAGGCGGGGTTTGCTCAGATATTAGTTCATTCGAGCAAAAGGAAGGCGGATCAAAAGAATAAATTGTATTTTATATTTACTCTTCAAATTTCCATTTTGTTTTACATGGCTATTTTCTCTTGAAAAGCTTCTGTATTAAAGTAAGGCGAGCGAAGAATCTGTGATGAACGAAGAACTAAAGGATGTGCTATCAGAGTTTTTCCAAGTTAGTGGGGCGCTCAAAAGGCAAAGACCGTCAAATTATTTTCTGCAATGAAACCCAATGAAGTGGATCGCCATGAAGTTGTACGTCATGTATTGAGAACTCAGCCTAGCAAGGCAAAATCTCTTCAACCCTTTAACGCCCAAGATCTTATTAGTAATTATCCTTACTGTCTTCTATAAAATTCTAATGATGCTAGCTCTGAGAATCTGGAACTGGATCAACTAGAAAATCCTCAAATCAGCATGTTTTCTTTCTTCTCATCACTTGTCTGATTGACATTGTATTGATATTGTAAGGAGAAATTCTGTCTTGGTCACTCATGGGAGTTAAAGGGTGAAGGGAAAAAATCGTCATGAATGCATCAAAAGTTATCTCTAAAGATAAAACTTTTTGGCGTCAATGAGGATGGAGTATGAAGCATAAGCCCTTTAAAACCGCAATTTTGCGTCCGCAGCCAATTTGGAAAATGTAATCTTGACACTTGCCACCATTATCACTATGAACCCCCTTGGGACTCTTGCTTGGACTTCTTCTGATTCTTCAGACATCTTGGTTCTTGTTTCTCAACCTTTCCAAGGAATTTGCTTAAAAAAAAATTTTTCATAGGTTTGACGAGAACTTGTTCCAAAAGTCGAGGTCTTGAAAGATTCCAAAAATAGAGTTTATGTAATAGATAATCCAGTCGTAATGACTCACATTCGACATTTGATAATTTAAGACGACCACGAGACTTAAAGGCGCTGGTACTCTGTGGAACAGATTACAAAATTATGGTCTAAGTTTTCCCAGATATGGAGTGCAATGAAAAGAAATAAGTCGATAAAAGATGTAGAGGTTGGTTTTGAAGATATCAGAATAATAAAGAAATTTGCAAAATAAAAACAACCAGGACCTTTTGATCTTTGTTTTTATAAGTGCGTTGACGTTCGTTGATTTTCATTGAATAAAGTCTAAACAGCAGGCGCCGAAGGGAAGCTGGTGTCAAAATTATGATAAATGATTCTCAAATCGATGACGTAGGTAATGGCTTTTCCCTGCCTAAAGACCGCTCGTTTAAATTAAGTCGAAGGGGCGTCTAAATGATTCGCGTGGTTTGACCACAAACAATAATTATTCAATTAACACTTTTTATCGAAATTTTTATGGCACGCTCAAAACGTGGCAAAAGCTTAGTAAAGAGCTTCTATTTTCATGTATAACATGTAATAATTAAGCCTCCTTTCCATATTTAATCCAACGGCTGCATTGAATAACTCATCATGGCCGATTTTGCATGAAATTCAAAACGATAGTTATTTTGCTAATATATGTTTCGGGTACGTGCGTAGGTGTGTTATAATCTGACCGGAGACGAGTAATTTTTACAAAAATCTAGCCATTTTCTGTGAAAACGACAAATCATGCCGCCTTTATCCAAAATTTTTAATTTAACTGCAGGACTCTCTATACGCACTTAATTTACAAGGCCTAGAGGACACAAATAAAGAAAAAGAAAATGTAAATACCAGTGCCGTTAAGATAATTTTTAAAATTGACTCGCGTTGCTGAGTAGGTCTCTCTATCCCTTTCGTAAATAAACTTTACGAGCCGCGGCAAAGAATATTGTACGGAGGCGCGAAAAAAGTTATGGAAATCAGATTTTCCTTTTTTTAATAAATAGCTAGAAAAGCCTTGATGTTCTTTACCAAAGCCGCCTAAGGACACAGAAAAATTGCACAATGGATACCGATGCAGGAGAGAGGTGGAAGTGCTAATTTGCGTTGTTGTACGGTGACTGCCCTTGATATTTAAATTAAATTGTCGGAAGATTATTTTTTTTTTTGTCATGAGACTTTTTAATCTCGTGCGGCAGCTCATTTAATAGTGAGATGCCGCATAAAAACCGCTAATTTTTTTGAACTGAAAGCGATGTCAGGCGGTTTGTGTTCGGTGTAAAATCATGAACCAAGATTGTAAGATGATCAGAAATTGTTTTATGTTTAGTTTATTTGGGGTTTGTTGCCATTATATCTGCTCAAACTCCGGCAAATGCTAACTGATACACAATTAATTTCGTTTAGGATCATATGATTCCCTGAACCTAAATAACGTGCTAAGATTTCTTTTACACTTCTTACCGGCAGGTCAAAGACCGTGTGCTCTGCATTCTTACGATCATCCACCAAAATAACTCTAAAAATTTCACACAACATATTAATGAACGATCAACATGTACATCTATTCAGTAAATATCTTAATAACGTGAATATTTTTACCTTTAACTTAGTATACATGGGATAAATAATGTCATAATTTATCATACTCTCTGTCAGTCAACCCTTCACACATGTGATTTGTGAACTGACTTATTCAAATCGCTTCGAGATACTTTACAATAACATATACATGATCTAGTCTGTGAAAATCAGCAAGACATCTTGTCTATGTCAGAGCCCCATCTCTTTGAACCTGTTATTAACTACTAAAGTTTTCCTCAGTTCTAAGAGAGAGGTACTTCTAGATCTAAACGCAACAGCAGTGTTCCGCTCAATCTCTTTACAAATTCCCATTCTTCTCTTCTCCCAGCTCTCTCTTCTCGGCACCACAATCGAATCACAATCTTCTTCGTCACTCTCTTCGCATCGTTCGTAATCGAAAACGTGCTCCTCTTGTTCTGTTCGTTTTAAACAGAACCGAAGTTTCCTTTGACCCTTTTTCAATTCATTCTCGCTTAGAGATAGACAGTCCAAGCGAGGCAAACTCGTGTAAGGGGCAGTTTTTCCATCTGTCTTACAATTCTTGCAAAATACCTTCGAGACGGACTTTCGGATCCTTTTCCACACGTCCTCTTTGCAATTGGTCACTGCATGTGGTTTGCTTGTCTTGTTGATTCTATCAGTTTTCTCGTTGATCTTGCTTCGTCCCTCAAAACAATCCCCGCGCTGGAAGTGAAAAACATTCTCCCATGTTTGATTCGTGGCCGATTTTCTTCTGATGTGCATTTTTTGACCGTATTTAGGAATTACTGGTTGAGGTCTTCCGTTTGGAACAGTCAGTGACAAAAATACTTTCGAGCCTACATGTCGCAACTTTTATACAGCAAATACCGGGAATGCTTTGTTTTTGAACAAGTAATTGAAGACGACTTCCGCTTTACAAGAAGAGATGAAAGCTTTTCTATGGGAGCTTTTTTTGGGCGAACCGGACGCCTTTGGTGTAAGTCACTTAACACCTTTATTTTGGAAAGATCTTTTGATTGAGGCGTGGAAGCCAT